CTTATGAGCCTGTAATAACTAAGGGAAAATATTGCCCGATACATATACATGTACATATACATACATATGAACATATATTCGATACTAATGAACATCAGACCTCTGATAACTCCTTCACTGTCCAGATAAACCAAACTGGACTTTAGGTGCCTTAATACTTCTTACTTGCACTGAATGCTTTGTACCTTCTCTCAGTAGGGTTGTGAAGTTTGTATAAAATGTTTTCTGACTCACCACTGGATGTGTTTCCATTCTCAATTTCCTGTAGGCGCTCACTTACAGGCTAGACAGAATAAAAGCATCCAAATTGGTGGAGAGGATTTCTGACTTCTTGAGAGTTGGTAGAATGGTGAGCAGCATCAAATCAGTCTGTCCAACTCTGGAGTAAATACACTGGAAAATACCAATTTAAGGAGTGTTATAAGCTAAAAGACCCTGGCCCCAAACTCCTGTCCAAAAACCCGGTTGATCATTACTTTCTCTGGAATTGCAAATCCAAAAATGAGCACCCCACTCGGATCGTACTGCCAGATTATGGCTGATTACCTGGCAAGGCTCTGGGCTCTGACCTCCTTTGTTGAAGTGTGATACCTCAGTCAAGCTTGAATTAGACATGGCCACAAAATGTACACCCCAACAGATAACCACAGGCTTGAAATCACACAGAAATTTCCTTATCCTTCTCTGCTTTGGGTTCTTTCAAATTTGTTTGTTTCTTTTAATTTATTTCATTTTTGTGAGTGGGAACATTGTCTTTAGGGACTTTTTTAAGTTCTTGTGTCTGTTATTTCTTCTTTCCTTCTTTCCTGTCTTCTGCACAAGTCTACTGAGGATTGGATTATCTTTGCTTCACCTCAAGATATGCTTCTATACTTTTTTCTTATTTATTTGTTTATTATTTCCTCTTGTCAATTTAGAATTTTCTCCCTGTATTTACTTTTCCTTTGTTTTATGCTCTGTATAATATTCTTTGCCATTTTTCTCTCTCTGTTTTTCAAAATTTTATGTTTCCAGACATATCTTTTAGTTTTTCCAAATTCATAGACATCCTTGTACTCCCTAAAGAGATCCTGTGCACCAGCATTTTCTCCACATTCTCTTATCATTAATTTAAAGTTTCCAAATTTTCCTTTTGCATCCCCAATTTTCAACCCTTAAATTTTAATAGGATACTCCAAAACCTTTTTAAATTTTTGATATGGACGTCTTTAAAATTTCTAATTAATTTTTTGCTACCATTAGCAGAGCAATCATTGGTATATGTAGTCGACATTAGCAGTAAGTCAATACCTAGTTTGGTTTTATATTTCACTATACATTTCAGCTCTTCTTCTGGGATTAAGAGTTGTGTAGGACTAATTTTGATGTATGGCAATGCCTAATTTCTCTTGGATGATAGGACTGTCCCGGTTTCACATGATATTAAAAGTGTCACATGACTGTTGCTATTTCTGGTTAAACCGATATTCAAAATACCTTTGTTATTTTAACAACAAGAGAGTCTGATTCCTGAGAAACAGTGTGATGCTCAATACACTGCATGTTGTGTTCCCAAAATAAACAAGGTGATGAATATGGCAGCCATGGGAAAGAGCACAGTTAGTGACAATGATACTTCATTATAGCAAAGCAAGAACAACATGGGAAAAGGAGCTGGGGATTTAGCTCAGCGGCAAAAGCACCTGCCTGGCAAGCGCAAGGTCGTGAGTTCGGTTCCCGGTACCGGAGAAAAAACCAAAAAAAAAAAAAAGAACAACATGGGAAAAAACAACTAAGATGATTTGTATAAAGCAACAAATGTGTTACATTAGTTACATCCATAATATGAGCACAAAGCAATCCCCCCAAAACAAAACTAAGTTCAAAAAAAAGGCTTTAGATACTTCATAAAACTCCAAAGCATTCTACAGCTGCTCCAATGGGCTCCAACATGCAGAAT